TCCATACACTGAGATATCTTGCTAGGTCAGTTTTTTTTTTTGTATAGACCTTGTTTTGGTTCTTGCCTACAATGATAGCTAGTTGGTCTTTGCTTCTATACTTCTTTTTGTTTGCATTTAATACAATGAGCTCTGATTTTTTGCTATTAATCTCAATATAATTTATTGTATAAAACTCATTAGAGATATCAATAATTTTTTGTAGCTCTTCTTTAGACTTAGCGATCTAAGTAGTATCATCTACGTAAGCCAAAACAGCTTGTTGATAAGAGATTTTCTTGGTCAAGTTGTATGTAATATCTGTTAGCTACTCTGTTATCATTTTGTAATCCAAGTTTTTTGTTTCTTGAATTACGCAAAGTAGTGAATCATAAAAAATACACTAGACCAGAGGTAAGATTACTTTGCCTTAGTTGAGACCATCTTTGGCTTCAAATTCTTCTGTAAGGCCAAAATTTGTTATGACCTTAATTTTCCTTTTTTCATAGAAGCTTAGAATGAAACTAGTTGTTTTTTCCAGTAATCTTATTCTTTCTAATGATTTTTTGAGTATTTCTAGGCCTACTGAATCAAATGCCTTATGCATATCTTAAAACAGAATCCATAGCTTATTGTTTTTTTGCCTCATGTCTTCTAGGATGTTGTTTATAATATGAACTGGACTTGCTGTACTATTGCCTGACAGGCCTGCATAATTTGATCTCTCTAGTATATTATGTTCTACTATAATTCTGTCTAGTCTCTAAGTTACTACTCTTACTACAGTCTTGCAGAAGGTTTTAATTAAGACTATTAGGCGCATATTAGATAAATTAAAATTCTAGTCTTTTCCTTTAGGAATAGAATATAGTTGACTTAATTTCCATTTAGCTAGTATTTCTCCTTCTCGAATATACATATTCACAAGATATCTAAAGAGTTTTTGTGCTATAGAACCTGCTTTTTTGATTAGTAGATAACTTATACTTGATGGACTTGATGCTGATTTAGCCTTTGTCATTAAGTACAAAATTTATTATAAATAAAGTATTAGTATAACTTATTAGAAAAGTTAAAAAGGTCTGATAACCTAGTATAGTAATTAGATTATTAGAACACTATGCAATAGGTTTGGAGTTCAAATTTTACTATTGCAAATTTGAATAATTTCTCAAATCTTGTAATATGTTATAGTAAACTCTGTTCGTTTCTAGGGATATACTTCTATAAATTGAGTTGTACTAAATCAATCAGAACTTAGAAGTGTAGTGTAATATTATATGAATAAATCTTGATAGAATATATAAGCAGAAGATTTGCATAGTAGAAATCTTAAGTTAGTGAAGTAGTATAGCCTTCTGACAGAACTATATTAGCTAAAGTCTGATCTGAAAAGAAAACTTAGTTTAATAAAGGTAAAAGGTTTCAAGGTTTCTGGATGAAGGGTAACTAAAACTAGCTAGATACTTAAAAAGAACTAGGTCAACTAACTAGTGAAGGATCATGATGAAACTTAGAATTGTATGAATATCTATAAGGATTTAAGCTAAGTAAATTCATAAAATAAGTATAGACTACTTTAGTAAATTTGTTTCGAGGTTAACTGGTTCTACAATACTAGCAATACATCTGATATAATATATTCTAAGAGGACCTAAGCTATTTTAAAAAAATAGATCTGTAACAAGCTAGCTAACTTAAATTATTAGATATTACAGTGATGTTAAATTGGATTTGTATAAGTTAATAAACAGAGTATTTAAATAGATAACTTACAGATAAGTTACAAATATGGTAGCATAGCATCAGAAAATTTTTTTAGGGGCTATATATTGATATATAACTTTTAAATACTATATATCAATTATAAATTATCAATATATCAATTAACTGCTATATATCGATATATAGCACTATCAATATATATCAATTATAGTTATATATCGATTAATATTACTAATGATATATAATGACTAGAAAAAAATTCAAGAATATTTTTCAAACTTTAACAATTATTTTCTTGATAACTAATAATTTGAATTAGCTCAAATTTTAACTATATACAGAACTGATATTTATCTATAATATATTAAAATTTTAGCTAATTTGAATTAGTAGTTCATAAGATCATAAGAAATCACTAAAATACGATAACAAATTTTTTTAAAAAAATTGATTATTATATATTAGTGATTTCTCATGAACTACTAATCCAAATTAGCTAAAATTTTTTTTTTTTTTTTTTTTTTTTTTTTTTTACTTGATAAACATGCCATCAGTGAGATTTTTATTGGTATAGATAGTTTTGAGCAATGATTACATATGTAAAAGTACAACTAGCTACATGTACAACTTTAGATTGTCTAATTTAAGTAGTCCGCCTGAAGGTTCTACACTAGCTGCTATACCTGAAATTTATTTGAAAATTCCCTATTTAAACTCTCTGGCTATATACCATTCCTATCCCATTATCATTTATTATCTAAATTCACCTAACCCCATACTACTTCTATTTTTAGAAGACATCAACAGAGCTGACATGAATTCATAAACTTTATGATTTGAAGCCTAGACCTATTTCAGATACCCCTTCGCTAACTTCCTAATCGATAGGTACTGTAGTACCCAAATATGCTATACTATATCCCAATTTAGCTTGTATATTGCCTTGTTCAATATTTGTACAAACCTAGTTTCTACTGTAGCCTTCCACTAAGTTAGTTATCTATGCCTTTAGATATCATATGAAGTAGATCCTTCTAAATCTGTTGCTTGATGTTGCCTGCTTTGCTGCCAGATATCATACGAGACAGATCCTCTCAAATCTAGTTAGCTGCCAAGCCAAGTTGGTGTTGCTGTATAACCTCATATAATAGACTTACTCACACCTATTTCGTCAATCTTTCTATACTCAGAACTTACTCATATCTATTTTGCTGATCTTTTCATATGCAAATTTCCTTTCCCAGATTAGACGTTAACTATATGACTGTCAAAATCTGTACTACTTCATCTAACTCGGGATTTCTACCATGCAGGTCCTTGCTTATAGATCCTATCAAGATTTATTCATATAACATTATGCTCTCCCAAATGCCTTGTCATACTTCCAATACCTCGATTAGCATTAGTACAATATGATTTACAGGGTTATAACTCCAGAAACAGGCAGAGTTTACTGTAAGTTGAATACAAATATCTAGGTAATTATTTAATTCTGTTGACAGTGGAATTTGAACTCTAGACCTCTTGCATAGTAGTCTGACAATTTAACTACTACACTAAGATCGCCAGATCATCAAATTAGCTAAAATTTTAATATGTTATAGATGAATATCAGTTTTATATACAGTTAAAATTTGAGCTAATTTTAATTATTCATTATTGAAAAAATAATTGTTAAAGTTTAAATAAAATTTATAATATTTTTGTTATATATCAATAGTAATCTCTAGCAATTATATGCAGCAAGAAGGCTATATATCGATATAAATCTGGAGATTACTATTGATATATAGTCCCTAAAAAAATTTCCTAATAAGTATAAAACCAATCAGGTAGTCTAACATCTGTGCAGTGAACTACTTAAAATAGACAATAATTAAAGTTATACATGTAGCTTGTTGTACACTCTTTATGTAATTACAAAAAGTAGGGATTATCAATATATAATCCTATTGACAACTCTAATAAAATTTATTCAGCAATATAATCTATCTTAACAACAAAAAAAAAAAAAAAATTTTTTTTACAAGAAGTAAATAGCAAATATAGAGTTAGATTCTTAATTAATAAGAATATTATAATAGCTAATCTAACTAACAAACCTAAACTACAAGTTGATTTTTAACTTATTTTTAAATATAATTTAACTATTTCTATTATTTTATCTATTCTTTAATTTGTAACACAAGCAAATTTGCTTGCATTTACTTTTAATTTTTATAATTTTTAAATAAAACTTTAAATATTAACTTTAAGGAAATATGTTAGCTTTAGCAGGTTGTGATGTCATACTTGTGATATCACAATATAACATTTAAATTAGAGATTTAGTATATAAATATTATATATAACAGGTATTTGTAATATGTATAAAGCAGAGTTGCGATATTATACTTGAGTAACTATTATACATAAGGAGTATTTGTAATATACGTAAACTAAATAATTATGTTATCATAATTGTAAATATGTGGTTAGAAATTTTTCTCTTTTTTAATAAAACTATTGAAATAAAATTATTTTCAATTTCTCAAAATTCGCAAAACTTTTTAAGGTATTAAACAAACTATTTTTAAATCATTTTGATTATTGTAAATTATCGCTTTAAAGTCATAAACTATAATCATACCTTGTTGAAATTTTTTTTCTGTAGTCATATTGAATAACATCTTTGAGTTTTTATCTTCAGATTTATATTTTTATATGAATAGTGAAGAGCAGGATAGTAATTTAGCACTAGCTGTTTTATAACAAAAAAAAATAAACTAGTTAGAAAGATAGTTAATATTATCTATACTAATCGTTAACTTTTTAATATTTTTAGCATCACCTGATCTCTTATTTTCAACAAACCAATATTTCTATATTGAACATGTAACTGAAGAACCTACACAAATATTTTAAGAGCAACAATATAATGACTAAAGATTCATATGATTATCTTATGAGCAACAAAGCCAACTCATACAATTAATTCAAGAGCAACAGTATGAGAACTAAGAATTTATATAATTATCTTATGAGCAACAAAGTGATGACGAATTTGATTGCAGCAATGAGAATAATGAGTATAAAATTGAAGCTAGTGCTGAATTTCCTAATTAGGAGTCCTTAAAAAGTATATTAGAAAAGTATAAGCTAGAAGTTAAATTCAAATCTATAAAGTTTTGAATAGAATATGATAACAATAGAGAAATAATTCGTCAATACTTTATTTGTGAGAATTCAAAAGAGCATCAACTCAAAAAAAAGATAATTGATGCAGACTATAGGAAAAGAGATTCTAAGAAAGTTGGATGTCTGTAGCAACTCAATATAGAGTGAAGAAAAAATATTAGCACTATATTTATTAATAAGTTTGTTAATGAGCATAACCATTCACTTGCTAATATCGAAAGGAGTTTGCTCTAAGTTTATACTTATTTTTACAGAAAGTTCTTGATGAGATAAAGTTTTTAACTCAAGAATATGGTCTTGGAGCTAAAGTTCAATGTCAATACCTTTTAAAAAAATTCACAACTCAGTCTTTATATGATCATGATTTATATCATGCAATATGTAAATATAAAAATCAAATAGGTAATCAAAGGAGAATGCTATAGCAGATATAGTTAAATGGCTTATGTAGCAAAAAGAACAAGAACTAGAGTAGGCAATTTTTATTGAGTTAGAGGGCATTGACAATAATCTTTTATGACTTTTTTAGATGTCACTAAGACAGATAGAATTGTAGAAGCATTATTATGATGTGGTCATCAATAATAATACTACAAAGATAAATATGTATAATATGTTATTAAATTTCTTTATAGTTGTTAACAATCATCATCAAACAAGGATTGTAGCACAGTCACTTGTTCAAGATGAGACTGTTAGTTCATATAGGTGAATCTTAGAGTATATACTAAAAGCAACTGATGATTTATCTCCAAAAGTAATATTCACTAACACAGATTCTGCTATGATTTCTGCTATTAATCAAATATTTTCTACTTCAAAATATAATCATTACATATTCTATATACAAACAAATATTGTAAAAAAACTATCTCAAAAACTTAGAAGTTCTTATAATGATTTTTTGCAAAGCTGGTATCAGTGCTATAATAACTGTAATGAGCTAGAATTGGAGTATCATTAGAAAAATTTGTTGATTCAATATCCTGCAAGAAAAAATTATTTAAACTAACTTCAGAAGTCTCAGTAGTTGTGAGCTAAAATATATATGCTTATAACTTTTTGTGCTAGGATACAAAGCACATAATGAGTAGAAAGTATAAATGGGCTTATTAAAGCAGAAGTTAGTGCTAAAACAATACTTCTCAATTTGGCAAAGCTATTCAAATAAAACTTGAACATGAAGCGTAATACCAGTGGCTTTCAGAATATAAAAATATATTACCTAGTTGAAGACTTTCAAGTATTCAAAGAGTTTTTTTTGAACCTGTTTAAGATATGATCAAAGAATATTTAACATTGGAATTTGCATCTTTTCAAAATGTTCAAATATCCCAAAGCATTTTATATTATATAAGTTTGTTTAAAATTTCAAGTGATTTAACTTCAGTAAGATTATATTATTTACATGACTATTATTATATTTATTTTTTATTAAAATAATTATTATTAACATGTTTTATTAGCTTCCTAATGTTTATAAATATACAGATAGGTATTTTGAAGATGAGTATGATACGTTACAGACATTACTAGAAAATATTATGAATATGGTTAACTATGAAAATATTCTTGAATTTTAGTAGATTTCATTATTTAACTAACATAATTCTCATTTTGTTATTCTTTTGGCTGATAATACATATCTTTGTACTTGTCTTTATATTATTTTATATAGTTTTTATTGCAGATACTTTTTTAGTATTTTTAAGTTATCTTGCAATGCCAAGTTTGATATAAAACTTATATCTAAATGTTAGTATACTGATCCTATGCAAGCATTAAATTATTCTGTAATTCCAAGTACATCTGCTGAAAAATTTGATATATCTGCTAAAGAATTTGATACATATGAAGAAATAAATCAAGTTATTTCTATTCGTAGACCTGATATGTATAGAGCAAGCATTCATAAAAACATTAAACAAAATCAAGAATATGCACATAGCTTTGGTATAGCCAAAGTGAATTAAAATTTGCATTTGAAAATGAATTAGTCAATGAATTTGTAGAGCTGATAGCAAGATTTATTAAAAATTATACTAGTGTTAATACTAATAAAAGAATGATAGTTAATGTTACTCAAATTGAAAATCCAAAAAAATTAAAGCATAAAGGGTATCCAAAGTTGTCAAAACCAGCATAAAAGAATAATCAAGATTTAGAAACAAGAAGTAAATCAAGACAAATCACTAAAACTAATACTGAAAATAAATATGTTAAAGAAAATTTATCACAAAATCAAGCTAATAATGATACAAATAATAAAAATTGTATTGATTATCATTGTGAAAACTGTTATGAAATCAGATATTATTCTTCTACATATCAATTTTCTAAAAATCATTTTAGATAATGCTACTATATAATGCATTAAAGGATTTTTATTAGTCTGAAACTTTAGTCTTCTAAGTTTTGATATTAGATGAGATATATAGTAATGCATTTTAAATATTAGTAAAATTAGATATAATAAGTGACTATAATGTTATAATTTGTTGTAATTGATTAATGATGACAATATCATTTAATTATAGTAGCTTGATTTTGAAGAGGATCTAGTTATTTTTACTTTCAGATTGCTTATAAATTCAAATTTACTTT